ACACGGGGCAGGTGGGGGGCACGGGCACCCCCACGGGCACCCCCACACACACCCTCGGGCTGCAATCCCCCGCACGCACACACACACAGAGCACACCAGCAGCCTGCAACACCCCCACACGTACACACACGCGACACAGTCTGCGAATTTGCGCGCACAGCCCCCCGTGCAGCCTGCAAACCCACGGAGCTGCACACACAAACCCCCCACACGCACACTAACGCAGCCTGCGGCACCCCCCGAGTGTGCAAACACACGCACACGCAGCACAAACACCCAGCGCAGGCACAGCCCGGCGTGCACACACATCCGCAGAACCCGCACACCCCAAAACTCGCACACGCACACGCTCAAAGCTTGTGAGCGGGCTGCAAACCCGCACATCGCGGGGGCACACGCAGCCGGCAGCCCCACAAACTTATCCACGCACCCCCGTGCAAACACAGCCCGCAGCCACCCGCAAACACACCTCTTGTGTAAACACAGCAGGGCTCGCACACACGGCGCACGCAGACGCGGGCAGGGCCCCTGCACGGTGTCACCCACCCGCAGCACCCGTGTGGATCACRCACACAGGCACGGGCTGCTGCCTGCAACCCCTGCAGCCCCCAAGCACCGCCGCAACCCGCCAACAGCTTCTCCCTCATCCCTCTGCAGAGCACTCGCACTGCGATAGACACACACACGCACACGCAGCACCCCGGCCCCGGCTGCACCACGCTGGCACCCCCAGGCAGGGTCTGTCACCCCCTCCCACAAAGCTGGGGCGCACGGTGCATGGTGGTGCGGTGGGTCCCCGTCCCACCAGCCCCCAGGCAGCACCACGGGGCTCCTGATGCCACACCAAGAGCAATGCTGAGGTGGAAGATCCCTCTGGATTTCTTGCCATGGTGCCTTCACAGGTTCTTAAGGCTAGAAGGGATGTGGGGAGGGGGCTCAGGGGAGCAGGTACAGTCACCCTCTGCCTGCAGACCCCAGAAGCTCCCTCTGCCCATCCTGGAAGGCATCTGGGGCTGAGAGTGCAAAGTGCAGCCTCAGAGATCATTCCACCCCTCATGCCTGGGCAGCAGGGAACCTAGGCACGATATCCCAAAATCTGTCCTTCTCTGCTGCACAGGTGGCCCAGGTCAGCAAGCCCGGACAGCGGTGGATGAGCGCTGGGCACTGGCCTAGCCACACGCACACACCGGCACCATGGACTTCGTCATGAAGCAAGCGCTGGGCGGTGAGTGGGAGTTGTTCCCCCCTCAGGGTCTCCCCTCCGGGAGCAATGCTGGCCCAGCACCCCAGGAGTGCAGTGGGAGGGACACGGCAAGGGGATGGAGTCACACAGAGAGCCACCAGCAGCGGGGAGCTGCTGCCAGAGCCCTCCAGGGTTCCCGTTTCCWGCGCTGTCAGCAGCTGGCTGGGGAATCCTGGCTCTTGTGCCACTAAGTGGGATTCCCCAGTGGGTCCCCTGGGTGCTGAAGAAGGAGCTGCCGGCATCTCCCCCAGCTGACACTGAAGTAGGGCAGAGCAGCCAGCCTGTGGCACTCCCCATCCCCACAGCCTCTTGAGCCCATCTGCAGCTCACTTCGGCACGGGTGGCCCTGGGGATGTCCCAGGTCCTCCTTGCCAGGGGCTCCTTGCCCTTCCTGCCTCTGCAGGGGCTCTGGCAGCCAGCACCGGGCTGCAGCACCCTCGGGGACCAACCAATGGTCTTGTGATGCGCAGGGGCCACCAAGGACATGGGGAAGATGCTGGGGGGAGAGGAGGAGAAGGACCCCGACGCGCAGAAGAAGGAGGAGGAGAGGCAGGAGGCCCTGCGCCAGCAGGAGGAGGAGCGGAAAGCCAAGCACGCCCGCATGGAAGCGGAGCGGGAGAAAGTCCGGCAGCAGATCCGTGACAAGGTGGGCACACACCTCCCCTGTGCCCGCCCCTGCCCCTGGCAGCCGGGGTGGGGCTGGGCACGGCCGGGAGGAGGGTGGCCCAAGGCGGTGGCTGTGGGCACGGGGCACGGCACAGGCGGTGCCCACTGCCTGCCCTGCTGAGAGCCTGTGTCCTCTCAGTACGGGCTGAAGAAGAAGGAGGAGAAGGAAGCAGAGGAGAAAGCTGCCCTGGAGCAGCCGTGTGAGGGCAGCCTGACACGCCCCAAGAAGGCGATCCCGGCAGGCTGCGGGGATGAGGAAGAGGAGGAGGAGGAGAGCATCCTGGACACCGTCCTCAAGTACCTGCCYGGCCCTCTGCAGGATATGTTCAAGAAGTAACAGCACCGTCAACCCTGCCATAGGGTGCTGGGGCACGGGCGCCCTCTCCCCTACAACTCCTCCATCAGTTCCCTTGGCCCCGGAGAGGGGGTCCCACACCCCCTCCCATCCCCTCCTCGCCCCGWCCCCCAACCAGACCAAAAGCCCGCCCCGTCCCGTCCAGGCAGGGCCCCCCCACCACGCCAAAGGGGAGCTGCCCTGGCCGGACAGGGCGAACCGGGACCAAATGCACTGATGTAACCTCGCGGCAGGCTAGGGGCACCCAGGTCCTACCGGCCGCCCCGGGGTGGCTCCTCGTGCCCCCTGCCCTGCCCCTTCTGTTCTCCCAGGGGACCCCAGTAGGCCTCTGCTCGCCTGCCCTCGTCCCCAACACTGCCATCCCCCTGCCCCGTCCCGCCCTGGGCCAAGCCCAAAGCACAAAGCCAGGCGCCCTGCCCGCAGCTCCCCCATCCCCGGTCGTCGGGCACGGGGGTCCCCCGGGGCTGCCCGGTGTGCTCCTGCATCGGGGGGTTGGAGGGGACCCCCCTCCCCGCATCTCTGGCCCCATAGTTAAAGCCATATCAGTTAGACTGCAATACTTCAGCACCGGGAGGAGCGGGCGCCGCGCTCCGCCAACCGTGTACAAAGGCACGCGCGGGGCAGGGGTCCCCCTGCCTCGTCCCCCCGTCCCCGCCGCTCGCTCGTCTGTGTCTTGGCCCCGCTGGCCCCCGTTCTCGCATTAGTGTCTCTGTGCCAGGGTGCGCCCCGTCGCTCCATGCGTCCTCGTGTCCGCTGCTCAGACCCCGTCCCCGCGTCCCCACTGTCCCCGGGGGCCGCCCGCGGCGCCCCTCGCCGCGCTGCCGGGACCCCCACTCTGCCCCCTGCAATAAAGCCAGCGCAGGGCTGAGGGCTGCCGGGCCAGCCCCGGGCTGGGAGTACACGGCTGCCCCCACCTGACGCTGGACACGAGTCCCCGGGCCTGGGAAGGCATCCCTGGGCAAACGGCCCGGGATGTCCCAGGAGCCGCTGCCTGCACCCCGTCAAAGGGAGGCAGGGGCACACCCTCATCCCGGCCCGTCCCTTGCCRCACCGTGCTCCCCTCTCCCTGTGCTTCCTCAGCCACGGCCCCCAGCCGCTCACCAGGGCCCCCCCGGGAGGTGGCGGGCAGCTCGGGGCCCCACAGACATGCTGTGACCATCCTGCTCGAACTAGTCTTTGACGAACTAATAAAATAAAGGGATTTGTACATTGCTCCGGTCTCTTCTCGTCCATTGTTTTCCTGGGCCTCCGTCAGCTCCCTCACCCCGCAAACCTCAGAGTGGAAATGTGGCAGCTCGTCACACATTGGCTGACCCCCAGCAATGCCACAGGTGAAGCCACGTTTGATTCCCAGAGTCCTGCTCATTCCTGCTGCCTTCCCATTCCACAGGCATCTATCCTCTCTGGGGTTAGGGACAAGACAAAAGGGATGTCCCACAGACATGGCATGAGGGTTTCTGCCCMTTCCCACTGACTCTGGGACTTCCTTCGCTGAATGATTGGGGATACCCACGGGTGCAAGTGCTGTTTCTGATGGGTYAGTGCCTTCCAATAGAGGGGCATGAGGCTGTGGGCACGGGGCACTTCATGCTCCCACAGCAAGGCAGAGGCCCTGGCAGCACCCAGGCTTGGCACAGCCCTGGAGACTTCAGCCTGGTGTCAGCCTCAGCTCYGACTGATGTGCCATCATTTAGCAGCAAAGAGCTCAGCTGTTACCCAGCTGGCATCAGCAGAGCAGTCACCCAGAAAAGCTTCTGTCAGAAGGAAATACGAGGGTAGGAAACGGCAGAGATCTCGCAGGCGAGGTCTCCATCACAGGCGAGGTCTCCATCGCAGGCGAGGTCTCCATCGCAGGCGAGGTCTCCATCACAGGCTGCGCTCTGTGACCCGGCACGATGGTGCACTGGAGGGAGAAATCCCCACGGCCCTCCCTGGAGAGGGGAGACAGGGCAAGGGAAGGGCTCTGCCCGGGGCTGACGGCCGTGGCACGGCACCAGCAGCATCCTCCATGTCCCCATCTRTGTCCCCGCTGTCACCTGTCCCCACCGTGRGGACGCAGCGCCCCCTGGTGTGGTGACAACGGAGGACAGGGGACACGGACACGGGGGACAGGCAGCGGGGACAAGGGGGACAGTCCTCCACAGACCCCTCTGCCAGAGAAGAAGGCTGGGGAAGGGAGAGCATCTCAGTACCCCCCCTTCTTCACCCTCAAATAGCCACAGGCACCTTCATTAAAGAAGAGGATTTATCAAAATTAGAAAAAGACACCACAAATATTTTTTTTAAAAAAAGCCCCAGCTGGGGAAACATCTACCAGTTCACATCCCCCCACCCTCCCCTCATTGCCCCAGTGCAGGGAAGGGATATGGGATGTCTGGGAAGAGAAGAGGCAGGCTGTGCTCCCAGAGCTGTCCTTGCCACCAGGCTTTTGGGGACAAGGGAGCAATCAYGTAGCTCATCACTCCTGGGGAGCCTGGTCAGAGCAGGGCCACTCTCATGGAAGACTCCTCAGCAGCCACCTTCAGTGACTGATTTTCTTTGGCCACTTGCCTTTAGAACAAGCCCCCATGCCCCAGAGAGGAGGCAGCAGAGGGGGGTCCTGCCAGCATCCCCCATTCTCCCCAGCACACAGCTGCCTGTTTACAAATGCTCCCAAGAGCAGGACACGCCAAGCCGAGCCCAAGATCACAGCCCTGCCAGGCTGCCAAGGAGAGGAGCCAGCTCCTTGTCCCACCTATCCTATCTAAGCTCCCCACCCCCAAGAGCAGGCAGGTGCTGCCTCCCAGGCTGCAGCAGCTTCATCAGGAGTCATTGGGGAGCCCAAAGAGCTTGACGGTGCCAGCCTCTCGGCTGCTGTCGTATTTGCCATCTTTGTCGTCACAGGCGAAGGCCAGCAGCGGCCTCTTCGGGTGCCAGGCCACTGTGAAGGTGGGGGACTCACACTGCACCTCCCAGAGCTTCTCTCCTGCAGGAAAAGGAGCSACGTCAGCCTGGAGAGCCTCCAGCCCCCTCTGCTGCTCACCTCCCCAAGGCCAAGCACCTGCTGCTTCTCTCAGCGCAGGGCAGAGGCAGCACAAACACTGCTYCAGCGCCTTTTAGCCACCCAGTGACAAGGCACAGACATGACAGGCATTTCTGCCACTGACTACCGAGGCAGAGGCTCCCCCTCATGGCATTCTGCTCTGCACAGCAAAGCGCTTCCTTAGCAATATCCTCCTAGCTCCACCAGCACTTCTCCATCCAATTCCCTCCTTGCTGTTCCCCAACACAAAACCATTACCTGTCTCCACCTCAGCGATGTCAATGAAGTGATCTTCTGATGCCGAGGCCAGCATCTTCCCATCATGGCTAAAGCTCAGCGTCCTCACGGGCCAGTCGAGCCTGCAGCAACCAAGGGGAGCAGGCAGTGAGGCACTGCCACCACAGTYCCCAGAGAGGGTGGGAAAACAGCTTTGGGACAGCTCTACATACCTGGAGAAGCACCTCACACACACCAGCTCATCCACATCCCAGAGGCTGACCAACGCATCAGCACTGCCCGTGGCAAAGTATTTCCCCATGGGATCAAACTTGATGCAGATGCAGTTGGAAGGATGGGCGTTGATGGACTGGATGGGTTTCAGCTCTGGGTAGCTGTGGAGGTGAAGGGAGAGGGCAGGGAACAGTGAGAGAAGTGCAGGGCAGGCATGAGACACATCGGGAATGGGAGCAGGAAACCCTGAATGTCCAGTGAATGAGGCAAAGCATCAGGGACCACATTGGGGAGCTGAGCCCAGCCCAGAACTGGGGCAGCCTCGGCACCAGACAATCTCATTCCCATCAGAGGATTGGAGATAACCGGGGTGTGAGATTCAGGTTCCCCAAAACCAGCTAAGGCACTTGTAACCAGCCCAGCCAGCCAGCCCACGGGCACCTGCCTGAGGATGTTGATGCAGCCATTGCCATTGGTGAGGAAGAACATGTTGTTATCGTTGTTCCAGGAGATCTCGTTCACCTCAAACTTGAACTGCTCCTCAGCTTTGGAGCGATGTGTCTTGGCATCAATGAAGGTGACCACGTCATCCTTGTTCCCCACAGCGATGGTCTGTCCATCGGGGCTCCAGCAGATGTTGATGTTCTCACCTGAAGGGACAGGCACCAGGTCCCACTTCCACTCCAAAGCATTCCCAAATGGGAATGAGTCCCTGGTCTACAACCTAACACACAAACCCTGCACAGTAGCTGCCCAGCAAATATGGACAGTTAGAGAAAAATCAAACTCATGACTACAGCTTCAAATATGACCACATCCCATTTCAGCCAAGATGGGACCAGAGAAAACATCACACAAGGTCAAGCCACAGATCCTCTGAATCTGGTGATCTCTGAGATCCAGAAAAAGCAGAAGCCAACACTAAATACCTATGCATGAAGGTAAGAACTTGGCAGGTTGCTTTACACAACCTTGCAATGCCATTCCCAGCCCCAAGAACTCAAAAACGGATATTTCCAAAGCCAGAGATGGTATCTGGGTTAACCATCACATGAATTCAAATAATTGTTTTGCTGAATTCAAACAAAATTTTATTTCCACCATGGCTCTATGTAAATGTGCTCTTCCCCAGTCTCCAGCCTCAGAGCTCACTGACTCCAGAGACAAGCACACTGGACATTTCAGAAGCAAGCACTCTATTTCAGTAGTTCCTGCAGCCCTCACCCCACATCAAATCAGCCTTAACATGATGAGTGCAACACAAAGATAAAGCGGTCAGTAAAGATGTCCCAACCAGAAATAACCACAGGAAGGGGCCGAAGCTCTGTGCCACTGCAGATGGGTGCCACACAGCTGAGGTCCTGCCAGGACCCCCCTGGGAAGTCGCCCTGGGAAGGCAGGGACTCACCTTTGGTGTTGACAGTGGCGATGCACTTGGTGGTGCGAACGTCCCAGATGCGAATGGTTTTGTCCCCAGACGCTGTGACAAAGAGGTCAGGGTTGCTGGGGTGCCAGCAGAGCTGATCCACGCTGTCCCCGTGACCCCGGTAGTTGTTCTCCTTTACCTGGTAGGAGAAGGCAAACGAGTTGAGGATGTGCCTGGCTTTGCTCCCATTCCTACCCCACACCCCAGCATGCCGCATCCCCGCTGGGATGGATCAGGAGCCGCTTCCAGAGTCCCACCGCCACCCCAGTCACGCTCCCACCCACGGTCGGCCAGGATAGAGAATCCCCGCCGCCTTYCCCGCCGGYACCGGCTCCWTTCCCGGCTCGCAGACCCGGCCGGYGCCGTGCTCGGCGATGCTCCTGTCCCGGTGCACACCCAGTACCCACCCCCAGACCCGGTACCGAACACCGGGACACACTCCCGCTTCCGGACACCTGCCCAAGCACCCGCACCCGGGATGCCCAAAGGCTCCCGGTACCGACCCGCCCTTCCCGCCCGATTCCGGGGGAATCTCACCAGCCGGTCCTTCTCGAGCAGGAAGACGCTGGCGGTCTTGTCGAAGGAACCGGAGGCGAGGCGGCGGCCGCAGCAGCTCCAGGCCACCGAGTGCACCTTGGCGCCGTGCGCCGGGAACTCGCGGCTCCGCGTGTTGGCGCGGAACAGCTCCTGCATGGCCTGCACGTAGGGCGACAGCGCCATGGCGGGGCCACCGCCACCGCCACCGGCCCCGCGCGCGCCCCGCCCCGGCACCGCGCCTGACGCCACTTCCGCCGCCCCCCCGCGCCCCGCTCGGCGCCACCGGCGGCGCGGAGCCGCGGCTCGCCGCCGAGATGGACGACAGCGTGGTCCTCGTCAGCGATTCGGACTCGGAGGGCGGCCGCTCCCCGCCGCGCCGGCTCTGCCGCCCCCGCCCCTCGCTGCCCTCCCCCGTCGTGAGTCCGGGGCTCCCGCCGGGCGCGGCGCCGCTGCCCCACACAAAGAGGGCGGCGCTCCCACCGCGGGCGGGGACGGGAGCCGCGCGCGGACAAGAAGCCTCGGGGGCAGCGGAGGGATGGGCGTGTGTTCCCAGAGACCCCTCGGTCCCGTCCCGTCCCGTCCCGTCCAGCCCCCGCCGCGTCCCCAGGGACCTCCCACCCTGTTCCCAGGCGGGCTCGGGTCCCCGCGGCCACCTCCCGCCAGTAGAGCCCCGTTCCGCCGGCGTGCCCCTCGCAGGGGTCCCAGCCTCCTTGCCCATGTACCCTTAGAAAGAGCCCGGTGCCCGCCATGAAGCATCGCGGTGCCCTCGGTGCACCCCAGGAAGGTCCAGCCCTGCACGGCACAGCCCCCGGCGCGTTCCGTTCCGGCCGCGGGATGCTGCGGGCTGGGTGCCGTTCCTCTGCCCTGCGCCGTTCCTGTCCCGGTGCCGCTCTGCCGGCGGGTGCGGGGCCGGTGAGCCCGTGCGGGGCGGGGCGGGGCTCGAGGCTCAGCGCCGAACGGTCCTTGCCCGGTCCCGCACCGCTGTCCCGGGTGCTGAGGCAGTTGGAGTCCCGCATCTCCCGTCCCGCCGCAGCTCCCCCTGAGTGCCGGAGCCCGATGGGCATTGCCAGCTCCTTGGGGAAGGCAGCAGGTCKGAGTCGGGGGGGATAGAATGGATTTTAATCGTGTGCTGAACGTGTTCGCTGCTTTGAGGTGTTGAGGGGGATTTTTTTTCCCCAAGAGCAAACAGGCTCTGACCCCTCCTGGGCACGCCAAGRTCTTGGGAAGTGCTGTGTCTGGCCTGCTCCTGCTGCCCCTCATAATCTGCATCACCCAGCAAGGCCTGGATAGGAGTCCCCAAAATCTCAGGGCTGCTGTAGCTCCAAATTGGTGCTACAGATCACAAGGCAGCTCTGTCTCCTGCTGCTCCTGTCCTCCAGAGCAGGTGAGGTCGTGCCACATAAAAGGTGCCAGGGTTTAGATCCTGTGTTGTTCCTGAGCACTCCTGGGGACAGGACAGCTCCCTGCACTTTCCTTGCCCTCCCTGGAGATGCCAGCAGGATTGGCATTTCCTTGTCGTGGGAAGGAGCCCAGCAGCCAGCCAGGACTGCTCCTAGCCAAGGCATGAGGGGGGACATGAGCCCTGAGGGGAGTGGGGAAGAAGAGCTTGGATGGATCAGGCTCAGGCTCCGCTGTGCTGTTAGGGGAAGCTGATCCCAGAGCTCAGGGCCGCAGGCCCCCTTGCACAGGCACARGGGTCTTTGCCCCTGTTTTCTCCTCCTGCACTGGTGCCTTTTTCCCTCTTGGACTGGGGCTACAGTGCCTCCATAGCAGAATCTCCTGCTAGGACAGGACACTGATGCTGCTGCTCTGTTCCCACAGGAGATCATTGATCTGACATGTGAGGACACAAACATAGACCCAACGCCATCAAGCAGCCTCGCTGTCATCGACCTGACTGAAGACATGTACAACCCTTTCCACTCCATCCTTGGTGCAGCCCAGAACCCCAGAAATGCGCCTGCTGCCTCAGCACCGCTCAAGTCCCATCCTCAACTCTGCTCTGCCACAAAAGAGGAAGTGCAGGCAGTGGCAGAGCCAAGCCCTGCGCCAGCGTGGCACAGCACCCCCATGACGCTCAATTCCACCATGGACACAGGAGCAATTGTGGAGGACTGGAGCTGCCCCTCTCCTGCCTCCAGCTGCAGCTTGGAGCAGGACTATGACAGTGCCACCTCTAACAGTAACTTGGACTCACAGCTGGACTCAGACATGCTGTCCCTGTCACCTTCCCCCCCCAGCCTGGACAGCAACAGCAGCTGGAGAGCCGATGGCCCAGAGGAGGATCCTCCCCAGCTCTGCCAGGAAAGGAACCTTCCCCCAAGGCTGAGCCCTGCCCCAACCATTCCTATAACACCAGTAAAGGCCCAAAGGCCTTTGGTGGAATCAAGTGACTTCCCACCAAATCAACCAGTCCAGCAAGCCACCCCAGTCAGGACTGACGCTGACGACAAGGCCTGGCTGGACAAACTGCACAATTTCAGGAGCAGCGGAGTGCAGCACCTCTTCCTCCAAGGCATAGCACCCAACAGGGAAACACAGCAGGTAAACAGGGTTTGGAGCAGCCCCTGAAGTAGAGGATGGAGCAAGGGCAGCCCCTGCTCCCCTTGCCCTTTGCCAAGCAGCTGGGGGCTCTGGTTATTGCAGTTCCCTTCACAGTGGGTCCCACATCCCAGCTGGGCTCCTCTGTGTTGGGGGAGCTTTCACCCATTGCCTTGCCTTGTACACAACAGAAACCTGGCCTCATCCCCAGTGGGAAGCTGAGCATGGTGCACACCACCATGGAGGAGAACATCCTGGAGGGCACCCTGTATTTCCTGAACGAGTTTGTCTCCTGCCAGCACTGTCCCCCCAAAGATATCATCTGCCACCTCATCAGACAGCTGCTGTTGGACACCCACGAAGAGGAGGTCCTGAAGGAYATCTACATGCTGCTGATAAAGATCCAAATGTATGTGCTCCCCTTGTCCCGGTGCCCCAGGGCTGGCTAGGTGCTCCCAGGGGTCTGCCCAGCATAAGGGTTATTCTCTATGGTGCTCACCCACAGAACAGAGAGTGATTTCCCCTATACCCCAGGATAAATCCTCCTGCCAACACAGGCACACCCCTGGCTCTTTGAGGGTGGGTCAGGGACAGCCCATGACACAAGGGAGGCTTGGGGACAGAAGAGTTTCTTATTCTTCACTGCTGTGATATGGCACAAGTGCCTTCCCTGGGCTACAGCAGTGCCAGCAGTGGCTGGAGCAACTCCCTCATTTCACTCCGGCTTCCCRCAGAGGGGTACAGTATTTTATGAGGCCATGGGCCCTGGGGTTCTGGGCATCTCCATGGAGCACAGTCCCTGTCAGGTTCTTCCAAAAACTAATGTGGTCAGGRGAGGAGAAGGGTTGAGGGCAAAGATGGAGAGGAGAAAGCAGGCGAGACACCTGAGCAAGTGGGGCTCAGAATGGCTGGGGAAGGGCCAGGGACTGCTATGCCAGGCAGGTGGTCAGGCAGTTCAGCACAGACTGACATGGCTGTCCTTGCAGGCTCCATCCAGCCAACGTTGCCACAGTGGGATGGGACTGGACGATGCTGAAATTCGTCATGGAAGACCAGGTACTTGGCACTGTGTCCCATGGGGCCCAGATGATTCAACACACGCTGCCTGAGGGTGAGCATTGCCCAAGGGCCTCCCATGGCTGTGCTCTGCTGTAGAACTGGTCAATGCAACAGTGAGTGCCAGCTGGGAATCCCACATTTATCTGCAGTGCTTCTTTTACCCTCTGCACAGCTTTAGGCAGGTTGTCCTACTGAAGAAGGCAAGGCAACAAATAAATTCTCTCTGGGTCACAGCACTAGTGCAATGTCCAGCAGTGCCACTCAAGGCCTTGCCTGAGTGAGGCAGCTCCTCCTAGAACTACTCCTCAGTCATGTACATCAGTCCACTCCCAAGAGCCAAATTCCCTGGTGTTCCTCACCCTGTGGCCCCACCAGGCTCACATGCTCTCCATCTGCCCCCAGGAGAAGCCCCCTGGCTGGCTCCTCTTCCTGCAGTACGTGGTGCAGACCCTGGAGGAYGACTTGCAGCACAGTCTGAGGTCACACCTGCAGAAGTCAATYGCCAAGAAAGTGCTTTCCTGTGATTTGTGCTTCAACAATGTCAAGTAAGGGACACCTCCTCCTCCTCCTTGTTCTCTAACCAGAAGCCGAGAGGCCAGTCCTCAGGGAACACTTGTTGAGACTCCAGGTCAGACTTTCCAAGAAGAAGACTTGGGAGACAAAGAGAAGTGTAGGGCCAACTATAAGGGCTAGGAAGAGATTTACAAAAGCAAACCACCAGAGATGATGCAAGATATTTCCAGTCACAACACAGTGAGCTTTTCTCAGGAATGAGGTCAGATTTGCATTGTTCAGGACAGGTCTGAGAAGGAGGCAGTCCTGTGGGCAAGTGTACAGATGTTGAGCTGCTCAACTCCCTAACCTGTCCAAGTGGGTAGGACGTACTCTTCATTCTTAGGGTCTTTCCTCAAGCTCTAAGTGGATCTAGAGGTTAGAACGCAGCAAAAGGAGGCATACCACCACTAAAATTCTTGTTTCTGTCCCAGGGAAGTGGTCAAGTGGTTGGTGGCAGCAGTTACAGGAGTCGGGTTCTCCCAGCCCCCGGAGCAGCTGCAAGAAGCCAGGGCTGAACACAGCTCATCYGCACCAAGGCTGGCCAGCACTGACCAGGCTCAGACAGCTTTCTTTGCCCAAAAGTAAGCTCCAGAATTCCTAACTGCTTGCTGGCATTATCATGGGCCCAAATCAGGCAGAAGCCAGAGTCTCTCTCACTCTGTAAGTTCAGGGAAGCCAAGCTATACCTGTAGCAAGCTTTGCTGGTTCTTCTTTGGGTTAGATATAAGACTTGGCAAGCAGAAGACTCTCACCTGGTAGGAAAGATTCAGTGTTATCCTCTGGTATGTAGGGTAAGGCTGAAGCTCTTAGCCAACAGCTCAGGCTGCACCCGGCTGCTCCAACACTCAGGATAGCCACCAAGACCTCCCGAGGGTCAAGCTGGGAATGAGCTCTGCTTGCAAAAGCATCAGATTCAAAAGCCTCTAGGAAATACCAAACTTGGCCTGCTGCATTCCCATGTGCCTYACGTCATGAGGCTGAGCTAGGGGACATCCCCAAGGCTTTGCTTGGCAAGCTGTTGGTGCAGTCTCCCTGTGCTGACTGTCCCTCTAACCCAGGGTGACACTCCTGCTCCAGCGGATGTTGTCCATCGCAGTGGAAGTGGACAGATCTCCCACCTGCAGCTCYCGTAAGATCGCAGATGACATATTCCTGTTCATACTGAATATCCCCCTAAGGAGCCAAAGGTGAGACAAGCATGTGCAAGGCAGCATTTGCCCGTGTGAACAATGGTTTTATTCCCAATTTACATCCCAGTCTGGATGCAYGAAGTTCTCCCAGAGCATGGTCATGTCTTCCATGGAAATACAACATCACCAGCTGAACATATCTACCCAGGTGGTGTGTGCTGGGAACAGYCAATTCTCCCACTGTTAAAGTTGTGTGACATTAAACTGTAAAGAGGGTTTGAAAAGCAGCACTGTGCATCAGCACAGCCAAGCACTGGCAAACACATCACTGATTCCCATGGGCAGCCAACTAGTCAGACACATGATGCAGTTCCTCCAGCTTTGCCTTAACAGATTTTGTTTGTTTCTTTAAGAAATGSAAATCTGAAGCCCAAGCACAAGGGCCTGAGTGGCTCTGGAGAACACAAGAGGTCACTAGGCCCACAAGCATTTCAAAYCCACATTTGCAATGCCCAGCACGCAGCCCTTCACACCCTTTTAGCAGAACTCTGTGCATGCACCAGGTATAACCAAGCCAAGCTGTCACTTTGCCCAGGACAGATACAGATATAGATCTATCTGCCCCTGACTCCACATCACCCTTCCTTGGCTGTGCTGCTTGAAAGACAGCAGGAATGGGCCACTGCCGCACAGTCTGCTGGACAGGGTGAAGTGAAGCAGCTCAGCTTGCTTTATAGACTGTACCACAGCMTCCAGCAGCCACAGGTCACACCTGAGGATGAAAACATGGCCGTGGCCATGTTGCAGAAGAAAGGTCTCTCACCACATCTGGTGGTCTTCCTTCCACAGYATGGCTGGGTAGCCCTTGCAGTCACCCCACATCTGCACTAGGTCAGCMGCACAGCACGAACATGCTGGAAACAGCTGCTTCTCGTCAGGCTGAGCTGTCTCTCCCAAAGTAAATTCCTTTTGTTTTGCAGGGAAGCTTTACTAACCACCATGGAGAGCCAGCTCCTGCGCTGCAGACTGCTAGAGCTCTTGTTTGATCATAGTTGTGATGTGCCCACAACCTCGTCCATGTCTCTGGACAAGATCCTGTATTTCCTGAGCCACTCCTCTGTGCTGCCACAATTCCAGGTATCCAGTCCAACCTCTCCTTCACCTCGTTTTCCCCTGAGAAAACTTCTAATAACCAAATACTGTCTCCTGTCCTAGGATGAAACAGCAACATGGCAAAGGTGGGACGAGATGCTGCAGTATTTGAGTTTGTTGCTGATGAGTTACCAAAGTGTAAAACTGGGTAAGCAGTGCTTGTTCTAGCCCTAACAAACACAGTCTCATCAAGAGCCTGCAGTAGAAAAGCCAAAATCCTCTTCCTCCTCTCATCACTGTCTTAAAAAGACAACTATTCCCAGCAGTCGAATTATGTTTGTTGTATCAATCGGAGCACCCAGCCTGCATTGACARCTTTAGCCCTTACAAAATAGCCTTCCTAAGAGAAGGAAGCACTTCCCAGCACTGGAAAGTACACAAGAGGGTGCTTTCTACCCACTTTTGTGGGTTGCTTTGCTATACAGAGGGTGGAAGAATAGGGTGGTTTAGGGAGAAAAGCAGAAGGCAAAGGGATCATAAAATATCCCAAGTTGGAAGGGAGCCACAAGATCATTGAGTCCAACTCCTGGCCCTGCACAGGCACTCTAACAATCCCACCCCTGTGCCTGAGTGTTGTCCTGGAGCTCTGGCAGCCTTGAGGCCATTCCCTGGGGAGCCTGTTCWGTGCCCCACCACCTTCTGGGGGAAGACCTTTGTGCTAATAGCAAACCTAAATCTCCCCTGGCACATCTCCAGTCATTCCCTTGGKTCCTGTCACTGTCACGCAGAACAGAGATCAGAGCTGTCCCTCCACCTCCCCTCCTGAGGCAGCTGCAGCCTCCAGGCTCCTTTGCTGCTGCCACTCACACAGAACACAAGGATTATACAAGGCTTGGCCTTTCCCCATTCCTTGGGCTCTCTCCATATGCAGAATGAGCTCCAGGATGGGCCAGTTCCCTCTTCCCACAGTCTGGTGCAGAACCATCAAGGATAATGACAAGAGGATCAGCACTGCCTGTGGCACACTGGGATCCATTTGTTGGGTGTTGCCTCTGCCCAGCAGCATTTCCCTCTTGCAGAGCAYCTACGGAGCTCCCTCAGTGACCGGATGGACTTGATCGTTCAGAAAGCCAAGCCAAGGCTCCAGGACAGTGATGACATCAGCCACCTGGACGTTCAGCTGAAGATGAGCAACTTCATCRGCAGAATGCAGGAGGCCCTGGGGCAGCCTTTACCCCCACAAATCCAGGAGAAATTGTACATGCTGCAGGAGTTGTTCTTCATCATCACTACTACCTGATGGAGGSAACCACTGCCGCAAGGGGGACAAGACTTCATGTTCTCAATATAGAACTCCCCATCTCATGMTGCAATTTCAACATCATAGGAGTTGGTTTATACATTTCTTTGGAAAGATGTTTGGTTTACATTTTCTCAGAATTTCCTTTCAAATTTGCATCRTTCTACAGTTTTACTAAGCACTTTGTACACTTTAAAAAATAAATTATTTTCGTATTTGCTGAGAATCTTTCRTCTTGGTGCCAGCCCTGCCCAAAGGAAATGCAGAGCTCAGCTCACACCAGGAGACCATGCTTTAACCCCAGCCTTCCCCAACTATGAGATTMACCTGTGCAATCAGGACCACAGCAGCAGCTGTACCTTAGTATCTGGATCTATTCCATGACTTTTAGCTCGTCTTACACTCCAGGAGCATAGGGAACACCAGTATTCAGCTCAGACACCCCCAGTTCAGGTGAACCATGTGYTCCATCAGCAGTACTTTAAAAAGCAGCTAAAAACACTGCAACAGCACTAAAGCACAACTTTCCAGAGGGGAACTGGGCACCTCCAGGGAAATACCAGCCTGGTTCCCRCACCTGTGCCCACCTCCACAGCAGAGGTGCAAACACAGCACACAAGCCACAGGACACACCATATCAGAAACATGAAGAATTTAAATGGCTCAAGAAAACACAAAGGTTTCCTGTTTAGTTTCATCTGCGCAAGACAGAACTGAGCCTGGCTTTACACCCAGTCTCCCTGTCAAAGAGCAGTTTGTAGACAAGTATTTCACCCTAGTGAGGTGCTGCCAGGGCCTTATCCAGCAGAACCTTGACCCCACACTCAATGGACAGCCCTACATTTCTCCCACAGATGCTCTGCCAGCACCAACACACATCRTGGACCTCCATTCACAAGGATTTTATTGACCTGTAACAAACAAAACCAACATACACATCAGGAGACATGAATAGACACAACAAATAAATTAATGTCAAATGAGAGCCTGATTGCTAAGGTGCAAATGAGTGGTGACAGAACTGCTGGGTTGGGTGGGGGTCTTTCACACATCACTGGCAGTGCTGCTGAAGCTTGAGAGAAAGCAGTGCTACAAATCGTGCTGCTTCAGAGGGGCCAGCAGCAGCCTCACCCTCTGGGAGGAATGTTTGGTTTAAAAAGGCAAAAACCCCAGAGCTCAACAGTTACCAGCTGTTAAGTAAACTCTGTATAATGTCCTGGCAACAGAGAAGTTTCCAATTCCAGATGCAAGGCTGCTGCTGGCTGAGGGACTGCAACACAGTCGTGAGATCAAGAGCAGACCTGAGGAGACTCATCTGCCACAGCAYAGGTGAGGATTACACATGCTGCCTATCATGCTTAAGGGATCAAATGRTAGCCAGGAGTTCATTCCACTTTTCCTGAAAGCCAGTGTTGGCTGTTCCCAGGAACTGGTTCTGACTAGGTCAAGGATCACATCCAGCTACACCAGGGCAGGGAGGAATGTTCAGCATTGATCTGCCCTCAGTCCTCCCCCAGCCCTGCAGAACACACTTAATGCTGATAAAACAAAATACCCTACCTGAGAAGTGTTTTTGGTGTTTAAGACACTTCTACATGATTCCAGGGGAAAAAAAAACCCACATCAAAAACAAATCAAGCAGCACAGAGTGCCAGAACACTTGCAAATCTGCTGTCTAGAAGGCAGCACACTGCTGCTTTGCAAAAAAAAGAGAGGAGAATTACATGGCTCAAGCCACACCAGCTTTGGTCATTTCCACCTTCTTAGAGGAACATGAAGAGCTGGAAGAAAAGGAATTCTGTACCTCATTACTTCCAAGCTCCATTAGATTCTGCTCCCCACTTTTCCAATGAGAGCATCTTAGTCACTGGTCATTTTTCCCTTTAAAAAACATCCCAAGAACAAAAAACATGGCCACACTGGATAGTAAGGGAGTGCCACATTTATACTGACCCACCACATTCCCCATCTTCCTTCTGGCAGGTAAAGGTCCAGTTTTCAGTCCTTGTTTCTTTTCCATTTTCTGCTTGAGTTCTGACAGAACCAGTCCTCCTGTGGGTCCTTCAGCACTGAGCCAGACAAGACTCCAGGCAGACAAGCCAGCTACTCACACACCACATGGAATCCTGTCCCAAAAAAWYATGGCTCAGGGTTCACTGTGGTGTGGTGYACTGRGAAGCACACCCAGAGYAGCCTGGCAGCCCAAACTAGTGCAGTGCARCAGACAGGATGGTTTCCATTGGTTTAGGACCGGTGCAGGCGTTTTTCCAAGACTGGCTTTAGCAGGACAATCACAACTGTTTCTTTTTCTGAGATGAAGAGCTGGAAAGGGAGACTTTCCTACTTTGCTGCAGCACACAGAACAGGGAAGCAGAGCCTAAGACACTCTGTAGCCTGCTAAAGACACTGGAAGCTTTCCTCTAGAAGCCAGTGGGGGTGAGCACATTCAGATCCCGAGGTTTGATATTGTGGGAACGTGGAGATTGTTTCCTCCCATCTGTGCCTGGAATGTCCATTTTGGGTGGCTTGAAGGTGATTTGATCCTCTGTCATCCTTGTAGCCTGAGCACGCATCAGCTCCATTGGGGATGGCTTCTGGGCACCCTTATAGGACTGAATGGTAAATCCTCCTGAT